GAAAAACTGTAAGTAAACACTTATGTACGTGTTTTCATAAAAAAATCGCAGCATATTTGTGGGAGTCTTACAGCATAAGGGTCAGATCCATCTTTGTCGGGATATATTTCTGTCTTTCCGTGGCAAACGAGATCCACCTGTGGAAATTAAGTCACGTGTTTCACTGTATTATTTCTTCCTGTTACCTATGCAGTAATAAAAGTTAATTATAACGTGTGCACGTACCTTAAAATGATCCAGCAAATCTTTTGTGACAGCAAACGGTGCACCGATCACCACTTCTGACACATACTGTAGAAACAAATATATATATATGTACACAATTCATAGATTTATAATCAATGAACTTTCATTGTTCTGTGCTGATTGATAAAGTTTAAACAGAACTTACTCGACAAGCCAGGACGCTGAGAGTCCTCTCGTGGACATTCATGATGGGGTAGTTTTTCCCTTTGTAGCGATTCACCTCCTGAATGATATGAACGCAAGCATTGAGAAATCTCAAAAGAAGGCAGTAAATGTCTCACAAAGATATAGAAATACTGACCTGATCAAAGTGTAGCCCCACTATAATGTAAGGCTTTTCTGCAAGCTTATGCACGGCTTCCAGAAAGTCCACATGGCCAATGTCTGGTAGGAGACTAGTCAGGAATTCATTCCAAATACTATTGCGTAGCAACTGTTTTATGATTTAAAGGGAAAAAAAGGTTGGTGTATAATAAATTCTAGCAATTATTGTGAGGTTGACAAAGGATACGGAAGAGATCAAAGGCTCCTGCCACATAGATTATAGTTTCTCCAGGTTGAGGCTCCTGGCCTGAGGCAAACTGGATGATTTTCTGAGATGTCTGAAGGAATTGAGACACCCCTGTCCAGGGACTATGGCCCTTCTGGTCAATCAAGAAACAAGCAAAAGAAGTGTAATGTGACAAGTAGGAATACAACAGATTTACTTCAGTATAGTTGGTAGTATTAACAGGGACTAGAAAGAGAGATCATATTTCTCCGATGCTACCTTTTCTTCAGTGGTTCCATTAAAACTCCAGAATTGAAATTTTCACATACAAAATCCTGAATGATACGGAACCTACATACCTTAAAGACATCATAGAATCTTATTATCCCAATGCAGAAATCTGGTCCCAGACTCCCAGTAGTGTAAGCTTACTTGTAGCTTATAAAATTTAGACTGAAGGCTATGCCTTCAGCTAACAGGCATCAGCTCCAAGTTTGGATTTGGAAGACGGACACTGTGTCTACTTTTACAATTAGGCTTAAAACCTGTTCTTTTGATAACGTTTACAGGTAGATGTTGCTATAGGCTGAGCCTGCTGTGGGACTTCCTGTGACGCCCTGAGCATTTCCTCAGAACAGATCGCATTCTGTTAAAAGGGGCTTCTTCATTCTCGCCATTACCTTGCTGACAGGACAAGTCAGATTTGGGGATTTTTTTTTTCCTATAAGACGCTAGGGTCCTTTACCTTACAGCATAAAGTATCTTGAGGCAACTGCTATATAAATAAAACTGAATTGAACTAAACTGAGTAT